CCAGATAATTTCTAACGTAGAAATAATTTTATATGTTGAAAAGCTGGTCTCAACATTTGCTAAGTTGAAACTGGTGATGGTTCCAAAGTTACATTTATTGAGGTGTGATTTACATACAGTAGAATTCACCCTTTCTAGATGTGCAGTTGAGTGAGCTCTGTCAGATGGATAAAGTGAGTGACCAACACCACCACAGTCGTGGTAGAGAATATTCTCATCACCCTCTGAAGAGCCCTCATGCACCTTTGTCTGGTCACAGCTTCTGAGTTAAGTTGATGCTCTAGGAAGGTTGAATCAGAAGCAATTTTGAGGAGGGAATGGGAGGAAAATAGACTAGTGGTTTTTTTTAAAGCAGAAAAACTGGAAAAAATTCCACTGGCAGATGGAAGGATGAGCAGTCCTGGGTGTAGCTCCCTGAAGGTCCAAAAGACAGGGTGTCAAAACCAGGACAGAGAGTGATTACTAAGGCCATCCTTGCCTCACTGGTTGCCTCTGATCCTGCCCTCTAGTGTGTAGATAGGCACAAATTTAAAACAGTTTATTTTTTATCAGTTGCATGTAAGTTATAACCATATATCATTCATTTAATATGGTTCTTTCATACTTCTCTAAGAATTTTTCTCTCTTTAACCTATGATTTCTACCAAACTGAGTTGACCTCTAGATGACATTATTTTACATGCTCTTTTCCCCCTATGTATAAATTACATATTTATTCATCTTTTATTGTGGTAAAATACACGTGACATAAAACTTACATTTTAACCAGTTTAATGTGTGTAATCCAGTGGCATCTAGTACATTCACGGTGTTATGCAGCCATTATGGTGTCTGGTTTTGAAATATTTTCATCATCTGAAAAGGCAGCCTTATACCCACTGAGCATTCCCTCCCTCCACCCCTGGCACCCAGCACCTGCCAGCCACTAATCTCCTTTCTGTCTCTGTGGGTTTGCCTGTTCTGGGAATTTCATACATAGAGAACTGTGCAATGGGTGGCCTTTTATATCTTCTTTCACTTAGTGTAATGTTTCTGAGCTTTACCTATTGTGACAGCACATATCAGTGCTGCATCCCTTTCTGTGGCCCAGCAACATTCCAGTGCATGAGCAGACCGACCGACCACCTTTTGTTTATCCGTTCAGTCATGGGTGGACATTGTTCACCCCGTTTGGCAGAGTGAGCCTTGCCACTACAAGCACACATATACAAGGATTTGTCTGCGTACCTATTTTCATTTCTTTTGGGTATATGCCTAGCAGTGGAACTGCTGGGTCCTAACTTACCGAGGGACTGCCAAACTGTTAACTGTGGTGGCTGTGCAATTTTACATTCACACTCGCAATGTATGAGCTCTCCAACTTCTTCAGTCCTCACCAGCACTAGTTGTTTTGTTCTGATGATAGCCATCCTGGTGGGTGTGGGTGGTTTTGATTGGTACTTCCCTAGTAAAGTGACAAATAACGTTGAGCATCTTTTCATATGCTTGTTGGCCATTTGTACATCTTTGTTTAAAAATGCCTATTTTGTTGTTGAGTTGTAAGAGTTCTTCATATGTTCTGGATACTAGAACCTTATCAGATATATTATTTGCAAATAGTTTATCCTATTCTGTGGTTTTATTTTCTTGACAGTATCCTTTGAAGCACGAAAGTTTTAAATTTTTATGAAATCCAGTTTATCTGTTGTTTTTGTTGCCTATGCTATTGTTATATGTAAAAAGCCAGTGCCAGTTCTGTCGTTATGAAGATTTACTTTGTGACTCTATATCAGAGTCATATAGTTTTAACACTTATATTTAGGTTTTCATCTATTTTGAGTTAATTTGGTATGTTATGTTTCTGCTTTCACTTATCTCTAAGTATTTTCTAATTTCTGTTATGATTTCTTCTTTGATCCATGGGCTGTTTGAGAGTGTTCTTCTGCTATGAAATGAGTCTCTTGTAGCAGCATGTAATTGAAGCATGTTTTTTTAATCCATTTTGCCAAGATCTGCCTTTTGAGAATTTAACCCATTTACATTTAAATTAATTACTGATAAGGAAGGATTTCTGCTGTTTTACTCTTTGATTCCAATATATCTTATATCTTTTTTTTCCTCAGCTCCTCTATTACTGTCTTCTCTTGTGTTTGATTAGTTTTTTGTAGTATATCATTTTGATTTCCTCCTCATTTCCTTTTCTCTATATTTTTTAGCTAGTTTTTTAGTAGCTACCCTGGAGATTACAATTTATATCTTAAATTCATAACAAACTAGTCTTAATTAATACAAGCCTAGCCTCAGTGGTATACAAAACCTTTGCTCCTATACAACTCCATCCCTCCCCTTCATTTTGCTATTGCCACAAATTACATCTGTAAACATTGTGTGTTCATTAACATAGATATATAATTATTGTTTTATGCATTTGTCTTTTAAAATTATATAGGGAAAAAAGAGAGAAGAGCCACAAACAAAAATACAGCAATATAGGGGTGACTCCATAGTGACATGGTTAGCACGTCTGCTTTACACGCAGAAGGTCCTGGGTTCACGCCCCAGGTGGAGCCACGGACCATACCTCGGGTGCGCCAGGCCCCAGGTGCCCGTCGAGAGCATGTAGCGAGAGATGCCCTGCCTTCACAGATCCAGTTCTTTAAAAATAGGGAGACAGCAACATCTGTAGGTCAGGAGTGGAAGTGGGGGGGGGGTGTTGAAAGCGGGGGGAGAAATACAGCAATACTTGCGTTTTAATTTACCTATAAATATCTATCATGGTTCACAGACTACTTCAGATTAATATCAACTTAATTTCAATAGGATACAAAAACTTTCCATCTTTATAGCTTTGTTCTCCCCTCTTTTGTGCTGTCATTGTCATATAAATTATATCTTTATACATTGTGCATTCAAGACAAGATTTATAATCACTGCTTTATGCAGTTGTATTTCAATTCAGATAGGAGAAAGAATTACAAAGACAAAATACATTTATACTAATCTTTTATAGATACCCATGTAGTTATCTTTATCTGTTCTTTTTTTCTTCATGTGGATTCAAATTGCTCTCTAATGTCCTTTCACTCATGCCTGAAGGGCTTACTGTAGTATTTCTGGTAGGACAGGTTTGTAAGCAGTTAATCTCTCAGTTTTTGTTTACCTGGGAATATCTTAAGTTTTCCTTTTTTGAAGTGTAGATTTGTTGGACATAGCATTCTTGGTCCATAGTCTTTTCTTTCAGCACTTTGAATATTTCATCCAGTACTTACTAATCACCCTGGCGTCTAATGAGGAATCAGCTGTTAATTTACTGAGAATCCCTTGTAGGTGATGAGTTACTTCTCTCTTCCTGGTTTTCAGATGCTCTTATTGATTTTTAACTGTTTGACTATGAGGTATCTCAGTGTGGATCTCTCTGAGTTTATCCTACTTGGAGTGCAAATGTTGATATGCTTGATAATGTCCCACTGGTCTCTGAGGCTGTTTATTCATTCTTTTTTCATTTTGTTCCTCAGACGTGATAATCTCAAGTGACTTATCTCAAAGTTCACTGATTCTTTCTTCTGCCTACTCACATCTGGTGTTGAAACCTAGTTAGAGTTTCATCCCAATTTTCGTACTTTTCAACTCCAAAATTTCTGTTTGGTTCCTTTTTATCATTTCTATATCTTTATTGATATTCTCTACCCAGTAGAGACATTTCTACCTGATTTCTTTTAGTTGTTTGTCCATCATTTCCTTTGGCTCTTAGAGCATTAAATATGCTCTTAAATAGACAGTTAATTTAAAATTTTGTCTAGTAGGTCCAATATCTGGTCTTCCTCAGGGGCGGTTTCTCTTCATTTATTTTTTTCCTGTGAATGAGCCATACTTTCTTGTTTCTCTGCATGCCTTGTAATTGTTAGAAATTGACATTTTGAATATTGTAATGCAGTTACTCTGAAAATAATATTCTCCCCCTCCTCAGGATTTGTTGTTGCTGTTGGTTGTGAGTTGTGGTTGGCTGTTGGCTTAATTGCTTTCCTAGACTGTTTTTGTAAAGATTATATTATTTTGTTATGTGTGGTCACTGAAGTCCTTTAGCTTAGAGGTCAACTGGTGATTTGATATAGATTTCCTTAAATGCCTAGAGCCAAAACAACAACAGCAGCAAAAAAACCCCACACAATCTCCTTCACAGCTTGGCTCTGTGCTGGAGTTCTCCTTCCACACTTAGCCAGGCCTCTTGCAACTTTGCCTTAGCCTTCACTTCCTCATTAGGCTGAAAGCTTCCAGTGTCCTCAGGTCTTTCCTCAGCTTGCATTAGCTCTAGGCACACATGCGGCCTTCTAGGCTCTCCAGCTTATGTGGGAGCCTTTCAGAACCTGTATTCCTCCATGTATTTCCCTCCTCAGCCTCTTTCTTTGCAGGCCGTTCAGCCTCTCCGCTGCTTGCCTGTCTGTTATCCCTTGCCCGATGGCTGTGGCTGGTGATCTGCCTTTAAACAGTTTTGACAAACACTGCTCAGGAGTTCACTCCAGCCCTGAGAGAGTTCTGGAGTCCTGACCTGACCCCTCAGGGAATCATCAGACACACACCAACAATTCTCCAAGGACAAAGTTTGTATCGCCCTCCCCACACACACACCAGGAACGCAGCTCCCGGCGGCCCGTGAGCTGAGGCGTAGGGGACAATAGGTGCATAAATTCAAAAGCCAGATCACGTTCTTGCTGAAATGTAGCAGCTTCCTTTTTCACTGTGTGCTCCTCTGGTTGTTAGTTTGTGATGGGATTCTTGAGTTCCGTACATGTTAGTCCTTGAAAGGAGAGGTTATATCAAGCCTCCGTCACCTCAGCAGCTAGATCTTTGTGGTGCACATGCTCAGTCCCCCAGTGGATTGGAGGGGTGCCCTGTGGGCTCCGGTGGCTGGGCCCCTCCTCTCTGGGAATCTTTGGCTCCAGGCATGACCTACCTTCTGGAGGCTCACCTTCCCTCACCTAACAGACAGTTCCTTCCAGGACAGAACATCCAGCAGTTCACAGATGTCCAGGCTCCAGAAGACTGTGCTAGCCCTTCCTCAGAGAGAAGGTAGGTTTGTCTCATCTGCACAGGTAGAGCCCTCCTGAGGTGTGGGGCCATGAGGGAGTGGAAAACCCATGGCCGAGGATGCCCTGGAGTCCTGCTCATAGCATTCCCAAGTTGTCCCCTCTCCTTACCCAGCTGGCGCAGTGGTGGGGTGGTGATGGGCAGGTGGGGACCCTACAGTACTCATCCTGTTCACAGAGGTCCAAGCAGCTGCCACTGTCCCCATCCTCATCCCTGGCCTGAAGCACAGAGGCTTTGACCATCCTCTGGGCCAGGGGCTGCTCCAGCATGGCCGGCGCCTCTGCACTCCCACCTCAGCTCCAACTTCCAAGTCACCGAAGAAGCCCAAGGTGCAGGCCACCGACATGTTCCCCACCGACTGGAGCCCACCACCCGTCGAGTTCCTGAACCCTCGGGCACCGCAGGCCAGCAGGGGTCCCCTAGCCCATAGGTGGGTGAGCACAGTGGGGCCTCAGGGCCCGAGGAAGCTGGACTGCTGGCAGCCTACAGACTTGGAGCAGGATCCCCAAGACGCAGACCCCAAGGGGAACCTGGCCTCGCTGGAGGAGCTGCTGTGGAACACAGGGGTCCCGAGACAACAGACTGCTACCCCAAGGGGTGATGCCTGCACCAAGGTGAGCCATAGCCGCCTCTCCTTACCACCGCTCCCCCATAAGTCCTGGGCCACCCCTTCTTGGCCACTCTTGCTCGAGACACACCCCTCAGCTCCCTGCGGCCCCCTTGACCCCAAGTCTGTGTGCCCACCTATTTATTTCCACTCCCAGCTCCTGCCAAGAGATGATTTGGGGGTGGTTCTAAATCTGATGCCCCCTCCTGCTGGGCCTTTCAAGGCTTTCACAGTTGAGATTGGGATGATGGCCCTGGGGAAGGATGGACTTGGGATGAGGGGGAGGGGAGGGAAAGGCCTGGCTGCTCAGGCACAGAGACTCTGCTGACTATGGTTTGTAATGAGCTCCCCGTGGGGTGTAAGCTGCTCTTATGGGTAGACAGTGGGGACATGCGTAGGACACGTGCCTCCGCTGTCAGATAGCCCGAGATTGTGGGTTGCCAAAATGCCCACCACAAGGGAGCTAATAAATGATGTTCCAGTCACACCAGGGCACCCTGAAAATGTTTTTTTAAAAAAGCTGTCTCTGTAGCACTTGACCCTCAAGGCCAAGGGCAAAGTGCAGACAGGGTGTGCAATATGCCCCACTCTGTGTTAAGGGGGTCTGTGATATCTTACTGTTTGCTTGTCTGTGCACAGAATACCTCTGAAAGCACACCTGGAGGGAGGGGACACATTTTGCCATAAGGCTTTGTGCTTTTTGATTTTGCAGTCACACTAAGGTATTGCCTATTCAGAAAAGTAAACAATAAACAAAAGGCTTAATTTAGATTCAGTTTCATTCTGTTTCTCCCTCTTTGTCTTTTTCTTTCTTCCCCTTTCCCATGTCCTGTTTCTCCAGGTCACCTCCCAGGGCTCAGGAAGCTACATCAACAGCTTAGATTACTTAGTGCAGGAGAAGAGGTGAGTGTGGGAAAGGACACCCTGGGGTATTTCTTTCTGTGGGGTTGGCAGTAATTTCATGGGGATCATCCTCCAAGATGTACAGCAAATGCCTGAGGATAAAGCAACCAGGTCAAAGGGCTATATGGCCAAGGCAGAGCTCCACAGACCCCCACCACCTACAGGGCCCACATCCCAGATCCTCTCTGCCTTGGCTTTCTGCTGCCCACCTCCTGCAGATTTGGGGGAGGGGTGGTCTCTCAGCTCCCATCATGTTTTGGAGAGCATGGAGCAGGCACTGGCCCTGCCTGCTGCCAGGACAGAGGCACACCATATCCTGCTGCCCCACTGGGTGGCAGCCCTGGAGCACAGTCCGTTTCACATCTGCCATGTCCCTGGTGGTACAAAGATCCTTGTCTCATGAAGAAGTTAGTTTCTAAAGGCCAAAGTCTCCTCCAATCAAATCAGAAGACCCCTAGGGGAGGCAGAGGTGTTGGAGACACCAGCTCTTTAGC